GAGGCTCGTGATGCACAAGCTAAATCCCGGACATCTCTTGAACGATATTTGCACTACTACAACCGATATGCCAACCACGAACAATCGGCCAAGCTCGATAAGGACATTGCTCAAAAGACCGAAAAAAAGATGGTTCAGCTTCAGACAGCATCTGGAATGTCCTGGATTGAGGTTCAGTACCTCAATTCCGCGTCCCAGGCTCTTCAAACATGTCGACAAACGCTCAAGTGGACATATGCTTTTGCTTTTTATCTCGCCAGGAACAACCTGACAGAGATTTTTGAGGATAACCAGAAAGACCTCGAGATGGCCGTGGAGAACCTGTCTGAAATGTTCGAGAAACCCACTGCAGAATTGTCTGACCCCAAACTCAAGGTTGATATCATGGACAAAACTTCATACTGCAACAAGCGTCGCGTCATTCTGCTTGAGGATACAGCCGAGAACCTTGCAATTGGTATTACTACCCTGACCCCTTCCAGTATTCCGTTCATTTGACTAATGGTCGTGCCTTTAGGTAAATGGATTTTCAACTCGGACCTATTAGCTGCGACCACTTCTGCGCCCGTCAACCGTCGCTGAGGCTCAATTACGACATGGCGCCAGAATCACTATCAGTATCTCTCGAGCACAGAATTGACTCTTTCAGCACGAAGAAGTTAGAGAAGCCACTGGCCTAAATCCCAACGGTTGCCGTGTATCAAGGCTATGGCTATGGCTCCACTGAGATTGGCTGTATTACTCAGCCTTGAACTTGCATAAACATCGGATTTGATGAATGTAGCACAGCAAGGTTACGCAGGAGAAGAAAATTTGCCCAAACTCGCTGGCTGCCCCCTTATTCCATGGCTGACTAGAACTTGGCCTCAATCTATTCCTGTATCATTTGTTCTTGCTGTTCTTCCATAGTTCCCTCGTCGTCAGTCATCGTGACCTGTTGCCCTCTGAAAATCGACGAGGCATGGGATCATGGCGTTGGCCCGTTGCCAGAGGCGTTGGCGTGAAGAAAGGGTTATGCTGCTGGAGCCTGGAAGATCTTGGTTTATAGACTTGTTATGGCATGGTGTTTTCAGCTCTTGGTGGTAAGGATCATGATATTCAACAAGCGGGCACGTAAATGAGAACAATCACATATGCTATTTGTTTTATTTTTAGATATTCAAGAATGACTAAAGTGTAGCACTGCTACAAAATCGCACAGAGGCAATTTTCGTGAAAACACAACTAATTTGCAACCTCGAAGTGTTGGTGAGGGTCGTACGGACGGGACGCAACTGGGATATTGGGGTCCAATTGCATTATTTTATCATCTTAGTGACAAAATAATATTGCCAAAACGCCTATCTAATATTTGACTTACTCATGTTGTCTTCCGTCGTTTAATGCATAGAGACAGACACGCACTAGTTCCATAAGACTCCAGCTCCACCCATATCCTGTTCTCTCCATACAGCTTAGCAAACAATACTGCAGTTACAACGAAAAAGCAAAAAGAAGAACGCCCGACAAATGCTATGTTCATTACGACCAGTCTCACTTTGGAAAGCTTGTTGGCTGTAAGATGAGAGGTTTCCGAGCAAGAATGTAAGTTCTATGCGAATGCAAAACGGGATAGGTTGAGTTTCTTCGGAGGAAGGTCGACCTCATCTTCATCTTCATCTTCCTCGTCACTAGCGGGGATGATTTGATCTTCGCTTCCACATTTATTAAGATCCGCAACCTCATCCAGATTGACCTTGGGTAAGGGTATAAATGCAGGGTTGACAGGTACACCAGAGAGGAACTGCTTGTCGGTGTTGTTCGTGCGCGGTTTGGGTAGCTTGGGGGACATGGGGCCGTTCATCGCACGAGCACCAAGACGCTGTAAAGGTGTCATGCGAGAAGCTGCAGTTGAAGGTGCAGTTGAGGGGGTAGAGGCTGCACTGAAGACAGAAGAGCGGCGTGATGCAGTCGAAGCGGGTGTCTCGTTTGGCTTAGTATAAGAGAACTGGCGGATATCTGGTCTTGAGGGAGTAGAAGAAACCCGCGATGCAGAAGCCGCAGATGAAGGAGGAGGCATGGAAGCGTCACAGGATGACATGAGGGTTTCATCATCCTTGACAAACGAGATATGGCTCTCACTGTCTGCAGTTGTTGAAGTCTCTTGGCTCTGCTTCTCTTCAAACACCGACACACTCTTCTTGGTTTTATCGGCAGACTTCCAACCCTCAAAATCAGGTAATGCCAGAAGGGCTTCGTCGAGCGAATCATCTGACAACAGATAAGCGTCGCTCTTCGCCCGCCTTGGACTCCTCCGTAGTTTCGGTGCAGGGAAAAATCTGCTCTTTTGTGGCAAACCTCCCTCATGTCCAGCTTCGTTTTCCTCACACAAACGCGCCTTCTTGGGTGGTCGGTTTGCAGGGTCAGTCGAAGCGCTAGCAGTAGTGCGGCAAGGCTCGGTGCCTGCAGAAGACGTACGCCTCGTGGTAGTAGGACTGTTGACAAAACTGTTGAGCATGTTGGCGATGGGTTCCGTACGGCGGCGATGAAGTCTTGGGGATGTGCGGGTACGGGTCACATCCGACCCCCGAGAGTGACTCGGAGCAGCCTGGATTGTTTCATCCAGATACGGCCTGGGGAGCGGAAACACGCGGGGTACCAATCCTCCTCCAGTAATCTGAGAAACCCTCTGAGGGTCAACTTCAAAACAATTAGGATCCATCTCACCCATAGGTATCCGACTGGATCCCTTGAAATAGGAGCTGATAGGCTTCATCGTAGGCGGAGGCTGGTCAATGGCACCATGGGCCAGCTGTGAATGCCTTCTCTTGGACGGTGTTGTCGAGGTGACAATTAAAGTCTTGGTGATTGGGTTCATGTCACCTCTGGCGATAGACCGTGCTATCTCAGGCTCTACAAAGGCTCCGATGAAGGGCATCTCCTCTGCCGTCCGTTCTCCGTCCAGATCTGTAAGGTGAACCAGTTCCCGTTTGGTCGGACAAAAAACCCACTGATGCAGGAATGTCAGCTCGGCTTGGTAGAACTGCGTCAAGTAATTTTCGGACACCTTTCTCCCTTGCATCTGAACCATCCGGACTATCCGCTCTGGTGCCTTTGTCTTGCGAAGCATACGATATGCTGTCTTCAGCCCAATGCCTGGGAGTCCGCGCAAATAGTCGCAACCACTGAAGATGGCCATTCGTCGAAATTCGGTATCAGACCAACCGGTCAATGAAACCTCTCTGCAGGCACAGAAATCCTTGCGGTTGATCTCTATACAGTTGCCATATTGGTCCAGTTTGGTGAGAAGCTTCTTGGCGCCGAAAACGAGGAGATCGGAGTCGTCCGAGATGATGCCGTTGATGAGACCCTGTCGCTCGAGGTAGACAAGCTGTGCATCGGCTTCGTAGGGGGCGACAACGTAAGGGATATCAAGCTTTTTAAGCAGTTGAATGAGAGCAGATGCCATCTCAGGGGTGATATCAATGCATTTCTGGAACTCCTGTGTGGCCTGGGCAGGTTTTCCGGCGCGCAACAGTTCCATTGCAGCCTTTTTCTTCTCATTTCTTTTGGTGTCCCGGGATTCTTCTGTAGCGGCTTTGCTTGGGAGAAAATCGCCGTCGAATACCATGTAGGGTGTCACACCAAAATGCCGAAGCATGCGTACTCGATTCATGGCAGCATGCAGGTATCTGGCAATGGCATTAGCATGCTTCGCTGTCATACGGTTGACTTCTTCAACTTACTTCTGAGTCGGCTTTCCCTGACCAAGCTCTAATGCACAGCAATAGGCGGCACGATGGAGCCAACCGTACGCGTCAACTCCGAGAACCTGGCCATCGTACTTTTTGAGCTGAGTCGGCTTCTGAATCGATTTGAGAAGAGGTAGAAGCCCTTGAGGACGATCAGTCTATATAGACAGTAATGGATATTCGGAGAGATAATACCTGATACACCCATGTTGAAGACTGGAGGGCTTCAATGCTAGTGGCGATTATTGATCGTTGGGCTTTGCAGTCGCAGCCCCAAAAGGGACTTGGGCAGCTTCAAGCCAAAGTGATTCTTCTTTGCATGCGTCAACAATTAAACATTGCGACGGGCCGTAATGAGCTTTGTTGTGCCGTGGATAGACGCGTCGAAAAGTTGATAAGGACGCGATGGCAGATCGTGCAGCGGTATCGAGGGCGGCGATGATTAAACGACCAGATCTGTCTAACAAACAACGAATTTGAGATATAACGCAGCCAAGTCCGCAAACAAATATGAGGTACAATCTTGTCGAGAGGCTGAAGGTGCGGCTCCAGGTCAAAGGTGGTCGAACGAGACGTCTCTAGAGGTGGAGATATTTTGCCTGTGGTGATCGAGAGACTAAAAAGCACTTAGTGAGGTGGGCTGCCTTGGATGGGACGCGACCCCTGAAGCTTCCGTTTTAATGGGCTCCATAGGCGCGTCGATAGGCGCGATCTTTCCATTCCTTAGATCACTGAACCCCCTGGGATAAGCCTAGTTCCCGCAGCTCGGTATTTCCCCAGCAACTCGAGATCGTTAAAAGCCCCACTGAAGATGTCGAGCCGTCAGGTAGCTGCCCTGCAACTTGATATTCTCGAGTTAGCTATCTATCGACGAGTGAGACATACGAAACATAGAAACTGAAAGAAGTCCCAGATATTGCATCATGTCTAGGACATTTTAATCGTAAGATCACTTCATTGGCTCCCCATCTTCTCAACTCACTATCACCTATCATGGAGTCGCGACAAGTACAGATATAATGATTAAATCAACCAAGTATTAAAAACACTGAGTATACGTATGACCAGGATCTCAACCAGGACGTGAAGGATCAGAAAAGATGGTATTATATTTTCTATCAAGACATGCACTTACTAAAGTATTTTTTCAGTTCAGTAAGCCACTGATGTCGATTGTGCACCTATCCATCTATTAGAAATCTTACTGGCCCATCATGACAACAGTGGAGCACTAAAGGTTCCCAGGCTCCGACCTAGGTCAGAAAGAAAAAAAATCCTTGCAGGTTATAGCCACGACTACATAGTTTGTACAAGCCGACAATACACATACAGCACCCAAAAGATAAAGATTCGCCATGCCTACCACTCTTCACAAGACCCGCAAGCAGATTTCAAAAAAGAGAAATGGCGTCGTTAATGCTCTACATGAAAAGTCCAGAGACTCAATGCGCCTTCACAAGGCTGGTGTAAGAGACCAGCGCATTGAGAAACTCGCAGCTGCCAGGAGTAAAAAGGAACAACCTCTAGGTACACTATAAACAAACGACTCGGCCAACTCTCAAAATATCTTACTTATCTAACCGCATCTTAGTTGACCGTGTTGCTTTCTTTCAACAAGCTCTACGCCTTAAAGACAGAGATAACAAAGGTGCCCCAGAAATTGATGAGGTTCAGCGCATGATTCACAGGTAGGTCTGGAAGAATAGTCTTGGTTACAAAGATTACTAAGGAATTCCTAGTTTCGTTCATCAATACGATGAGGAGTATAACGAAACCAAGAAGGCCCGTCGCCCTGGCCGGCCTGCTAGTGTGAAAGAAGATCTCCTCAAAGCCAAAATCAACATACTAGAGGAAGAGTACAAGAGTGGTTTTGGTACGTTATGTGAATCTACAAGGAAGATGGAGGGAACTAACATTGTGACAGTTATGCCTGATATCTTGGACAATGTAAATGTGAACGCACTTCACCTTTGGGAAGGCTCCTGGTCATATCTCACCCAACTGAAATGGGTCAAGGTCAATAGTGAAGGCCAAGTCAGACCGACCAGCTTCCCATCAGGCGGCACCAACTGAGTATCTGGCGCATATCAGGATGCACTGAATCAATAATACAACCGGAAGTGGGATGACTGCCGTCTCATATACAGGCGAGCTCGACCACGCAGTAGTTGTACAAGGACGATTTGAAAGACACCGGGTCAAACGAGCAAGACCATAACCCCCATCAAGTGCTCAACATGAACACCAAGGAATACAATACAAACCGATTCTATGGATCCGATGGACAACGAATCTATCGCCACCATCTTCCTGCCGCAAGCAATGCAGGGAAGATTCTAGAAGCTAGACACGAACAAGCTGCCTGGACATCCCATCAATGGTCTTGAGTAATGGGTAGGTATCGTGTTGGAGGATGATTTGATTCATAAGTTCAGACTGAAATTAGAGGGAGAGAAGGAAGCTACAAGTCTTCTTGCGTTCACAATTCTTACACTACCCACAGCTCTGTGGTTATTCAACATCAACGGCGACTCAAATTACGTGATGTTCAAACAGGGAACCCTTTTGGTAAGGAAAAGGTTACCGGAACCATCCAGCATTTCTTACTCATGATACGCTATGAACTACCTATCGTATAATGCAAGATTCATGTTCAAATTAATTCTACGTAACAATTGATGTCCTTTCGACCGCCAGTGATTGTCACTAGTAAAAATTGCTTCCTTTTGCACCCTTGAAGTGTTGCTACGCCACGTGATGGTGATGCCCCGCTCTGATGGAAGAGATCGTCCAGTCTGAGTCCAGTAAATTATTAGCAAACCCGCCGGGAAGTTGTCGTCCCCAAAAATTTCAGGACGAGCTTTTGAACTGCTTTAGAAGCTTCTATCATCATCTGTATACAACACAAATTTCTTCCAATCCCCCCCAACAACGACCTGTTCTTCCTCCCTATACGCTTTATACACTTTTATAGCGGTCCCTCAATAATTTAATCACAATGTTCTCTGCCCGCAACGTCGTCCGATCTGCGCCCCGCGCTGTCTCCCGACTCTCAGGTGCTGCTCTGCGACAGACCGCCCGCCCCAGGGCCTTCACCAAGGCTGCTTCTGCCCTACGACCCGCCCAGGCTGCGTTCTCTACCACAAGCTTCCGTAAGGCTACTGAGAACGATGGTGAGCTTAGCGCCAAGCTCGAGAGCGAGATCAAGATCGAGGAGGACATCAAGGCCAGCGAGCAGGACCCTGCCAGCATCAAGGATTTCTTGAACAACAGCGCCTTTGAGCTCGTTGACACACCCGGCCAGGAGATTGTCAAGCTGGTTCGCGACTTTGGCGATGAGAAGTCAGTATTCGCACCTCCCATTGGTTTCAACAGTCAGCTAACAACGCTATTGCAGGATCACCGTCAGCTTCTCCATTGCCGACATCACCAACTACGACCCCTACGGTGAGGAGAGCGCACTCGAGGAGGAAGGTTTTGAGGATGAGGGCGCCCAGGGCAGCCAGCGCAACGCTCGCGCCAACGAGGAAATCGATGAGGAGCTCGATGAGGATGCCGAGGAGGAGAGCAACCCCCCTATCAACCTATCAATTGTTGTCGAGAAGCCTGGCAAGGCCTCTGGAGCCCTGAACATCGATGCCAGCGCTCAGGAAGGACACATTGTTGTCGAGAACCTCTTCTATTACACCGACGCCTCGGTCGCCAAGGTCGAGAGCCCCGACGCCGCCCAGAAGCGTGCTGATGTCTACCCCGGTCCTCCCTTCGGCAGCCTCGACGACGACCTCCAGGTCCTCATGGAGCGCTTCCTCGAGGAGCGCGGCATCACTCAGGCCCTCGCTGTCTTTGTTCCCGACTACGTGGACGTCAAGGAGCAGCGAGAGTACACCCGGTGGTTGAACAACGTCAAGGCTTTCATTGATGCTTAGGGCGGCTGATGAGCCAGTCAATGCAATGAAAAGTTTCTCACGGTATGGAAGAGCAGAGGGGTCTTCGGTTTCAGATATGATGTATTAAAAGTAAGAATTGCCACTCTTGTACTATAGGATAAGATCCACGAGATCAAATGCATGCTAAGATATGTGTAACGATACAATGCCAGCTTTACTATATCCCTTTGAGATTGTGATGAGTAATGTCGATTAGTTGACCGCATTGAACAGTCACGATTTTGAGCGAAGTCGATAGTAAGCAATACATCGTCAAGAGAATCTTGCTATCTAGTCAGCAATAACCCTAGACCTCAAAAACTCCCACAACTCCAAGTAACGAGTGCGCAAGCCCGCCATGCATCTTCGGGGTTCATCGACTTCTGATGCATATATCACCCCCGTGCTACTCTCCGGCGCAATGAAGCTCTATTCCAGAAGTGTCTTTCTGACACAGAAAAGTCCAAAAGAAATACTTCGTATAGCAATCCCAACGACAAAGCTCCCAATATTCCCTCGGTTGTTCGTCTTTGCAGAAGAAAACCGCATCTAATGCACGACACAACCGAAGCCTCGAAACAAAGGCGAACGTCTACATGATGCCTTCGAGCGACCAGTCACCCTTTTGCGCCCGCTCAAGGACCTCGCGGCCCTTCTCGGTCAGATCGGGCTTGCCATCGTTACCGGTGACATGTTTGAAAAAGACGGGCTGCCACGTTTCCTTGTTGGCCTCACGTTGCCGGGCCTTCTCGCGCTGGGCCTCCTCGAGCTCGACCTTCACCTGGGTAGCCTTGCCATATTGTTTGGCGTGGATAGCATCTGTAACACCGCCCCAAAGGGTTAAAGATTCGTTGGGAAGCTGCTTTTCCTTGGGAGGGATGATCTTGGGCGCAACACTGAGGGGTGCAATATCGATAATGGTGTACTGCTCTTCCACAGGTACAGATTTCTGCCGCCGGTTAGGTTTATGTACTTGAACACATTGAGATTACCACTTACAACTGGTCTGGGACCGAGAGTAAAAACGACCTTCTCCTTCCACGGACCACTCAACCGAGCAAGGACATCTTCATCGGGCACGTCTTGAACTCGAGATTTGTCATCGTTCTCAGGATCGTACTTGAAGACAACGCCATCAATCTTGTTTGTTGTGCGTCCCAGCCAGCCTTCCTCCACATAGTGCAGAATGACCTTGATCTTGGTCTTGGGGCATGTGATGTAAGCGAATTCGCTGACCGATACACTCAAAGCTCCGCGGAGAAGACCGCCCAGATGGGCCGCCGGGTGGGTAAGCTGGTAAGTCTCGCCATCACGCTTTTCGAGGGTTATGAAGATGCCCATGTTGTGCTCCCCAGGAAGGACCTTGACGGAGGTGCCTGTGAACTTGGCAGTGATCTGGTCAAAACCGCGGGCTGTGATACCCTTCTCGGGGCAGGTGACGTTGAAGGCGCTCACAGGGGGGTGGTGTGAGGTCTGTTCAGTAAGATAGGAGACGCGAATAAGCTTGTCGTCCTTTGCAGCGCCATGCTGGGGCACAGACAGCGAGACGTTTGAAGCGTTCTTATCCCCCTTCGCTGCCACTTTCAGTGCTGAAAGGCCACCCTTGGAGGTGCCATTAGTCTGTTGGAGGCTTGAAGTGTCGATTTTCGGGGCGTTATCTTCAGTTTCCCAGTTACACTACAAAGCAGTCAGTGTTTCTGGAATCCAATCGTCATATGGTTTTGTATTGGTGAAAGCAGAAAAAAGATCACGTACCCTGAAGAACTCGCCGAGACATGAATTGTATGGTTTGCAGGGCTTTCCTTTGGCATACTTCAGATCCTTGGTCAGCCAGAAGCGTACGACCTCGAGCATTCGATCGAGAGGGTCATCGGAAGTGCCCATAGCAACAAAGGCATTGGGGGCATCGATATAGGTCCAGTATTCCAAGTTCGGGGTGGGCTCGAGCAACTGCGACGGCAGCGAGAATCTAACTGCTGCAAGATCTGAAACGCCGATGAACCTATCGTCGCGACAAGCGGTCAGCATCTGAAAACAAATAATGGCATCATCCGCTGTCTTGAATGGCAAGTCTTTTCGCGTTGCCAGGTTTGCTTCCACTGCTTACTCCGCTCTACGTGAAGCGGATCTGTCGTCCGATTTCGCTGGCTTGAACCCCAACAGAGCGGTGGAAGCTCTCACGACATGACTTGGCCGACGGAGTAATTGTGAGTCTCTTACTTCTTCAAAATCCCCAGAAATGTTCGCAACTTGGAAGTATCGCTTTGCGTCTCGTCAGGCGCGTCGACCGTGGGTGGCGGTGTCGATGACGACATGGTCGTTGATAAGCTTGGAGTTGATGAAGGAAGACGATGCTTGGTAGTGGGCTATGCTGTCGATATGGCTTTTGGTGAAGAGTAATGACACGTAGCAGGAGTTGATGCGATAGGTGTACAACAGACTGCTGCTAATATAGTAGTAGAAAAGAGACGATCCCGGGGACAAAAGAAAAAAGATGAGAGGTGGGAGCGACGAAAAAATAGAAGTCTTGTGGTTGCAGACTGAATCGCAAAAGTCAAGAAAGGAAGCGGGCGGTGTTGGTGACGTTTTTGGCGGGGTGGGTTCTTAGTAGGTACTGGTCCAGGTCAAATGGAACTGTTAGAGGCCCCTAAACTTGGGGGGAGGGGGGGCTTCAGGTACCTGGTTAGAAGGCTTGTCCATGCTCACAGCCCAGGTACCCTACATTATTTCACGCTTCTTGGCTCGAACGGCCTGAGATCGATTGCAGCGTGCATCAGCGGCTCTGGATTGGTGGGGTGAGAGGTTTTGATAAACGTTGAGATGAACTCTGCTCGGGTGCCCTAAGCTAAGGTCCTCAGCATTCAATCTGCAATATTCTAGAGGCAGGTAGATATCTTATCTACCTTACGGAGATGATATGCACAATGGCTCTGTGAATCTCGCAACACTGCATCGACCTTGACAAGATTTGTGCAACTTCACAATGAACATCTGCACAATGATCGACGCATGGATGCTACTCAACCACTTCGACTGATGCGATTCCTATCGGTGGCCGTACACAACTTGGTCAAGCCAATCATCAGCGCACATGGCATTGTCCCCGAATTCTAATACTATCCATTCGTCCATTTTCCCTTTGATATTTCGGTAAAAGGCAACAAAAATTTCTACTAAACCCAAAGTCGCATTTCAAGGGCTCGATTCTTGTCAAACAGTATTAGCACGGGGTCTTGTTCAGCTGTACCAGTGGTGTCAGCTTGCCCAGCCAACTGGACTACTTATGAACATATCATATTACTATGGATGCTGGAAACGGTTGCCGTAGTTGTGTGAACTTGTGTCTCCCGTGACTAGAGGTACCAAGGCAGTTCAACACCACATGCTTTCGATGCTGGTGATGGCACCAATCGTCTCTTCACTCCTGATCCCCGGCCAAACCTTAACATTTGTTCTTGACACACCGAGGCAGGATGAAACTCGCTAAATAACACTCTTTATTAGATATAACACTCCCAGTAACAGAGTTCATATCACACGTACAAACTAGCGTACCATATAATAGTCAGAAGATAATTCAACCAGGAAACGGTGGATAAATCTGCTTAAACAGAACCTCATCTGTAATTATGTTGTTATATGTATATACAACAAGTATTCCGTAGTGATAAATAACAAGTCCAGATCAGTGTGCAAAACTCCTGGCGCAAGCCTTTTGCAATTCTAACAAATGCAGGTGAGCCACCTCGTCCGTTTTCATGCCACGTACAAGCATTCAATATCCATCCCTCGAGCGCCATGCATATCAGATAAGGCTGTTTAAAAAAGAGCCAGGTGTACAGTGCTGTTTTTGGATTTGGCAAGCACTGCTGCTGTATCGCTAATAAGAGTATCATGGAAATCAAAACTAAAAAGAAAAAAATATATCAATCGGCAACTTGGTTTATTGCTGCTGCTGGTCGTTGCCCCAATTTTCGTTGAGAAAATAGTCCCAAGCGGGCTCTTGGTCGCCGAAGGTTTTGGTGGGTGTGCCGGGATCGAAGCGATCCCATGGTAGCGTTTCCGATAGCTCAGGATAACTCTCGCCAGCGACGCCGAGGCCAGTGTCTTCCTCCTTAATATACTTGGAATCGCCGCTGTAAGGATAAGATTGAGGAACCCCCCAGTTGTGAGGTTCAGGATAAAGGGCAGAGCTGAAAGTGTCGTTCATGCCCCCACCCATCAACAGCTTGGCCTCAGGCGGTAGCTCTGCTGTGAAAACTGAGCTGTCTGAATTGTATTCCATGATGGGAGGCGGCTGTACGTTTGCAAAGGATGATGTGCAACGAGGTTGGGGCGTCTCGGGATGGGACCCTGAAACTGGTGTGAGAGCTGATGGCGACATGGCTGTATCGTTTCTTGACTCTGAAATAGGGCCTGACATGGAAAGGCTTCGATCGCCATGCCTATTGTTACACTGTTGGCCATAGTTGATAGGCTGGAAGTTTGGCTCAAAATGCTGCTCCATGGGGGTCGAGATGGTGTTGTTTTGTGTGTGAAGTGCCGAATAGCCTGGTGCGGAGTATCTGTGGGAAAGAGATTGGGCTTGTTGCTCAGCCCGAGGGAACATTCTCGCAAATTCCATATTGATTTCGTTATTGCGCCAGTCGCTCTCAGTGGCCGAGATCATTTGTGACATGGCCACACGGTTAATGAGATATGCGTCCACTCTAGCATTGAAGGCGGGGTTGTCCGTTTGCATGTTCTGCTTGAGAATCCGGTATGATCGAGGGAATTCATCATCCTCTTCCTCGTACATCTCCTCCTTCATAACAATCTCCTCAGTGATTCGGAAGGCCTTGCCAGTTCGTTTCTTGTGGATCTCGCTGGCCATCCTGGCCGACTGAACACGGGCTTCGAGGCTTCGATCTGCTCGCCTTGAGGCTGCAATATACGCTCGCTCTTGGTTTTCTTCATGGGATCGCTCAGTCTGGATACACATGTTAGCGATATTGTCCCTGTACGTATATTGCAAAGGGTTCAGGTACAAGTGTTTTTACCTTTCGGGTTGGGGCAGGCTTGATTGGGCCGGCCATGTTCGCGGCATCAAGAGATCTTTTGGGCATTTTGACGCTAGGCAATTGACTTTGGCAATTGTTTGACAAGTGACCAACGATTTCAGAGTGGTGGAACGCCGATAGGCTGACAGCTTTGATTGTTGAACGCTGTTACAAACCTAGATCAAGATGCTCTCAAACCGATATCGTCGAATGGAGAACGCAACGCAGTTGGCATATGTGAATGGGAGATGCAGAAGTATTCTCAAGGTGACTTGAAGGATAAATGTATGTTCTGAGAGTCGGCGCCTAACAGGTATTCTTATGAATGCTTTATATTTGGTGATTTAACTTGAGCTGAATGCTTTAGAGTTTGAGTTTCTTAACGAAAGCCACACCTGTTCGAGGGCGAGAAGTTTAGGCTGATGGAAATATCAAGTCAAATCAAGAAAGTCCCGAGAGGGGGCCGGGCGACGCTCTTGTATTATACACAAACAGGGTAAAAAAAAATGGAAGCTAACCCCATGGACAGCGACAAGGACACGCGGGTTGCAGACGCGGGAAGGACTTGGTAGCTCGATCCGAAGGCGATCCCACGACTATGATCGAGCGTAGTTATGACGATCGATCTCGATCAAGAGCTCTCTGTTAGCGCTAAGCACGAGGGACAAGTACCGTCCCGTATCGACCTAGCCCCGCCCCCTACGGTAGCTTTACCTTATTATCCCCCCATCAGGCTCCGCATATCCATGGATGGATTTGTGCCCCCGGCACTCCTCCGGTCCTCATCACTTAGTGGCTGGTCCTGTGTGAGGTTGCCATCTCCATTTGGTCCCCGCTCTTATTGTGAGAACCGCCAACCACGGCCGCCGGAGTTGAGAATTCACCACTGCACCCGAGTACAAGGAGGAATCCATGTCTCCAAGTTAGTAGGTAGTTCAGAGGCAGCTCTCGTCTGAACCAACGATCAAGTCATCTCCATCGTTTCAAAAATCTAGAGACACCCAGGAACTCCTAGATCACTCTCCATAAGATCCACGAATAGGACATGCGGGTTGAGAAAACAGCATAGCCCCAATCTTTCCAAAGACATGGACAGTATATACAGCCGAAACCCTGCTCCTTTGCTTCTGTGCCGTGCATGAGGATTGTAGTACATACAGAGCAACGCCTCTCTGTAACCTCCATGCTAAGGAGCGCCGAATCCCTCCCAGCCAGTTCGGCAATTACTCGACATGTTGCAAATTTGGGTCGTTGGGGACACCCAGCGTCACAAAGGCCACTCTACGCCTGTCCCAGCGGCCTCTGCTCTAGAACGGTTAACCAGTCTGTTCGATCGCAATCTCTACGTATGGACTTCTGTTCATCGCATCGGCAAAGTATCTTGTCCGAGAGGACCCCGGAAACCCACCAAAGAACCCTTGGACTGTGAACCTTGCCATTTTATCATGCCATTCTGCTAAGCCTCCTCTCATGCTACCTACTGTGCGGTATTGTATTAACTTATTGGCCTGGATTGGTTGTCTCACTCAATGGACAGGCCTGGCCTCACGCACCTCCACTGCCTAAATGAATCCTTCCACGATGCGTCGTAGCGAAGAGTAGCAGCGTCGCAACTGTGCTGTGCTGTGCTGTACAATGCTAATGCTAATGCTTTGGTCTTGCCGGCGAGACGGTGAAGTCTGTTTCCATTCGATGGACAAGAGTCCTATCCTTTCTGCAGCCCATCGATAGCGTGACGCGTGGGCGAGGTAGGTCGATCGTTTCAAGACTAGGCGATCCGTTGTCAAGACATTTTCCTCATGAACCCATGCTTCGACCGTCTCAGAGATCGCGATCCGAAGGTAATAAGACTCAACTAACAAAACAAACATTCTTTTGTTTCAATTAAACTGATTACTTATGTTGATGAGACCTGAAACCTACGGAGCATGTCTTCCGTGCAATCGGCGCCATCAGATGCAAGATGGGATGCTGTCAGTTGGGCACCGGATTTGTCTCCCGTTCCTTGTTTTTCATTCCCCTTCTCTCTCCTCATGGTTCTCCATTGGGCCACCCTAGCTGATTCTGTTGTTCTTGTACACAGCCGTGGCAGTTCCCTCTTCAAAGAAACCCCAGCATCCAAACCCATACTAGGCTATCTGCATGCCTTCTTCCATGTCAAGATTGCCTGGCCATTGTACTACGGTCTCCTCCTATAGTGCCACGGCACGGTGCAGCAGAATGGGGGAAGGCGTGCCATGCTTAGCCGTTGGCAAAGTCAGAGCCAATTATCAATTTAATAAGCACCTACCTATTCAACTCACCACAGTACCTGAACATCGGCTTAACCAGGCGTTGAACGTAATTGACTGATAAGCCAAGGTCTGTACTGTACCTGGCAGTTGGTAGCCAGAATTACGATCCCTCTACGCTCTTATCACATCAGAGCATCGTTGGGCGCTTGTTAGCTGCGATGGGAAGAGTCTCGAGGCTGAAGCATCGACAGGGGTGAGCATCGCAACACAATCGGAGCTCGTCCCTTTCAAGGCAAAATTGGTGATCCAGACGGGCGGGTCCCTCCACAGGGAATCGAGCGGCTGCTGCACCAGGGCAGGGCCGCCAAGGCACATGGATAAAGAAAAGAAAAGGAAGAAGAAATAGAGAACGGATATGGCGGGGAGCCAAAGATCTGATTGACAGACAAGAACGGTGGATACCGCATCTCACGACGCAAATGATAACTAATCCCCAGCGAGTCAGATTCAGAGTGTCAGACGAAGCAAAGAGAGAATGTGCGATACTCATCGCCCATGACGATTTTTCGAGCTCAGATCTTGGAACCTTTATTAGCGCCCGAGAAGTCTCGGATGGCCGTGAATTCGATTTGTATCGTTCAGGTGCCGATGTCTGACATTGGCTCATTCTTGATCAATTTTTGTGTCAGCCAAACGAACGTAGTTACATGTCAGTAACAAACGCAGACCCTTAGTCGTTCACCATCATTAGAGACATGAGCTGAGCTGAGAGCTTGACTCTTCGCTGAACTTTGTCAACATCCACACCCTTCTGAACCAAATCTTTCAAACTATATTGTCACTGAGCTAGGATCTCACCAGTGGAGACGGGAGATGGCTTTACAGAGGTCAAAGTTCGCTTCTTTATCCGAAAGTGGAGAGCTTTCTCAACCACCCACCGCAACCATAATAAACGCCCTTGTTGGATGTTTCGCAACCAACCACACACTATGGCTTATCGAACCTCCAGCTTAATCGACCCAGCATTTTTCGATCTCCATGAAATTCTGGAAACACAATGATCAGATACCATTCTTATTTAATTCCTTTGTTTGGACTGACTCGATTGGCAATGGTCGGATCGAACAAAGACTATACATAGCGAGCAAAGCCCTCAACCCGGAACATCACTTGCCCACTATCCGTACCTAGTCAGCATTGAAGAGGTTGAGAAACCTGATCGAATGTGATATCTACAGTATCTATAGTGACATATCTATCAGCCCAGAAACTGTGGGCAGCAATGCCTGTCTTGAAACAGCATGAGCTCTCAGGTCAATGTGCTCTGGTTGCAACCTCAATAGGTATTTCTACCCCAACTTGTTCTGGGATGGAATGTGCTGTCGGACTTTTCGGACCGGACCATCATCTCCGGCCTCGATTCCCCTTGGTCCACTACGAAGCGGTACCCAGAGCTACGAGTGTGTACTAACAATTTCTTGAGTTCCCCTGGCCGAACACATGTCCCAGGAATCTTCAGCGCTAGTCCCTTTTTATTCGAGATACTGGCTTGTGCCACGTTTGTCCGCCACAGACAACCCCGCTTCATCCAATCATTGTCAACAATTCTTCGGTACAAGCCACAAACTAGTTGTAGGCCATGGGAATGAGAAGCATCTCAGTGTCGATCCTTAACATTCCCATTCTTGCTTAACAATATGGAGTACACACAGCACCTTTACCACCACTTAAGCCGCAGCCACCTCAATATGACGTTTCTGGCTCCAGCGCAACGATATTGATTCACGCACCTTAGGCTCCAGGAGACATAGGAGAGAACAAGAGCTAATATCGGCGCGATCGAGCAATACCCCCCCCCCTAATTGCCGGTTCCCAGCGTCGATATGAGATCAACGTAGCGTAAGGCAGAGAAGCAGAGAGGGAGACGATGCGCAGATACCACCACGTCTACACGTGCTACCGTGTATCTAGGCGTCGTGGTGGTGGTGAGCAGCGATTTGCCCCTGCATGCCCATTCGTTGCTCTCTCAGATCTACCCCAGATTCTCCAACAAGTGCTTCCCAAGCTCCGATGGAAGCCTGAGGTTTAACGCCCTCGCAACGAAACCGAAATCCAGAGAGGTTCCCAGCAATCCGGGGCGCACGGAGTGCCTCCGATGCAAGGCGCCCGCATGCGCAAGTTCCCGATCGTGGCGAGCTTGACAATGGTGCAGCAAATGTAACAAGGAAATTCGCAAATTCTGTTTCATTGAGGAGATGAGTTGATTTGTAATGTCTGCATTACATCAATATCATCACAATTCTCAAGGATATCACTCTTCGCCCCCGGACAATGCTCACAACCAGAGGCCGCTGCATGGGCTTGTGTGGATTGGGTATCCTTGGAAGGGGTGGTCGTTGGGTAATGATCGCACATTGAATCATTTATACGGCATGCGAGATCTTATTCCTTACGCTACGGCAGATGGTGACGGGTTTTGCACGTCGAAATCGATTTGAGCAGCATCCGTCACGGATAGATTAGCGAGATCTGGAGTCTCAAGTGAGTCTTTGATCTCACTCAGCTAGATGGACCCTTACACCAACTTATTGGCCAGCACCGGAACATATGGAACTTCGACAGCCATTGGAAAATCATAGTTGGCGCCCGGCAGGTCTAACCAACACCTCCACGAACTTTCGCATCCTCCCCCTCCCAGCCACCGCCTTCAGAAGCAACTCCGAGTTCAAGCAAGTCAGCTTGACGTCTGTCTCCGGTTGAAATCAGTCCGCGGATGGTCAGTATAAGTTAGTTAGCTGCGGTGTCATTAATCGCAAAGTGATCGAATATTGATGCGTGTGCACATATCCGTTCAATTGTTTTCAGCAACCAAGATGCCCATCCCAGTTGCGTCGTGTGGGAAATCTTAACACATGACCATACCATTTGGCATATGGACTATCCGGAAACCTTTTCTGCTCAACTAAACCCTGGAGCTCTATGCAAGCGGAATCTTGTCTAGGGGTTGAGGGAAATAGCGGAAGGACGTGCGTGGAGTGCGCTTACACAATGTATCTCGCAGGTTTGTAGCCAGCTCCCCAGCTATATCCGACACACAAGAGGCTTGAACAGGATTTTCAGCTGTCATTGATGCCCCCTACAGAATAAACAATGACTTCTCATTTTTCTCCTTTCAAAGAAACCACCTGTCGTGGCTAAATTGAAGCATTGCTAGAACTTACATTTGTGCCTACCTTCAAGCTCACGACTGTGGCAAGAGTGGGAAAGTTTGAGAGCCATAACATTTCAGCCCTAAAACGCCTCAGAAGAGAAGGAAAGTATTCGACCTGACCATAACATTGTTGGTTGTCACGTATAGCCAAGTGCTTTGGGGCAAGTCGCAGCAGTGGTCTCGATAGCTCCGATATGGAGTGCTTTTTCTGTGGCGAATTATCGTG